TGTGATAATGTCAATATTGCTACTGATGGTAAATTAACAATTGATACAAATTGTGAATTATATAGATATGTTAGTGCTTTTTCATCTTTTGATATGAGGAATACCGATGCTAATTCTTCAATTAGATTTATTTGCGGAGATCCTGCCGTTCAATCTAATATAGTTGGAGCAGTTAATATTTCTACTGGATGGACTTTTAACACTTCTACTGCTGATGTAATGGGTAATTTATTTGCTGATGATATTTATGTTAAAACTAATGGAGCATTAAGAAGTAATCATATAGCACCTAATGGTGGAACATTAGTAACCGTTGATACTAACTTAGCAGTTCAAAATGCATATTTAGCAACTAATACCATTCAATCATTTGATTTAACAACGGTTTCATTTTTGAATAATATTTCAATGACTACTGGAACAGATCTAAAGATGGGAACAAGTGAAATATCAACTTATTGGAACTAGTTTATCTACAATTGATGTAATATTCAGAACATCAAACACGGCGTTTAGAGTTGCTGATAGTTCTACTACCCCTTCTGTTTTATTATCTATTGATAAGACATTTGGAACAACAGTAAATACTGAAAGTTTTACAAATAATGCTCCATCGACTTTTAATGAAAATGTAACAGTTGTTAACACAAAAACATTATTTGTAAATGATATTCAAGATGCTTCAGGCGATGCTATTGATATTACCGCTGGGACAGTAACCATAAATGGAAGTTTAATAGACAACTCTCTCTGATGCAAGATTGAAATATGATGTAGATTTATTAAAAAGTAATTGTATTAGTATGATTAAGAAATTCAAACCTAAAAAATTCAAAAGAAAAGATAGAGACAATAAGGATGCAATCCATATAGGTTATATTGCTGATGATTTATTAAAAGCAGTTCCGAAAGAAATTAGTAATGTAGTTCATACCGAACGTGAATATTTAGGTATTGAATATACAAAACTTCCAATATTATTACATAAAGCTTTACTGGAAGTGATAGATAAAGTTGAAAAATTAGAAAAAGAAATTAAGGAATTGAAAAAAACAATCTAAATAATAATATATAATGGGTATTGGTCAAAGTCAAAACGATGAAAATAACAGTATGGAAGACATTAAGAATTTAAGAGTAGATGAAAAAACAAGAGCGGATACTTTAATAATTAAATCTATTCAAGAATGTGTGGCGCGAATAGAAAAATTAGAAAGTCAAAAATCGGACAAACTAATATATAAATTACCTGCGTTGAATTTATGCAACGCTTCATTAATTTAAATCAAAAACATTAAACAATAAATTTAATGTTATTGATTAGTGATTTTCAATTATTGTGAAAAGTTTTTCATAAAGATACGGTTAGGGTCTTTTTCTAAAAGGTTAATATATAAAAAACTATGCGGTTCATCAGTGGCAGTTTCATATATTTTATAAATTAATTTCTTGCTTTCGTGTAAATTATCGCTTCTAACAATTGCTGATAATTCATCTTGCAATATTTCTATCTCTTTGTAGTTTCTAACTTTATAATAAAACAAATGACTTATATTTACTCTAATAATTGGTGGCACGGTTGATGATTTTTGAAGACTGACAAGCGTTGATATTCCACTATGACGTCCCCTACAGAATAAAGAATTTAACAATTTGTTATTTCTTGTTATTGCTGGATTATCAGATACATCATCCAAAATTACCAAAATATTAAATAATTTCTTCGTTCCTTGTTTTTTCTGGTATTCAATTATTTTATTTTGAGTTTCTATAACTCTTTCTAAATCTTCAACATTGAACTCATCCCACCAACACGGTTCCTTATCATTATCTACTTTCAAACCTTCCTTAATGTATTTTTTAACAGGCAACCAAATACTATCCAAATTTACTGATGGGGACCAGATAAAAATTCTTTCATATGCTCCTCTATAAATATCAAGTATCATTGATACAAGTAGCGTGCTCTTTCCAGAGCCTGACGGGCCCACAATCATAGCTCTCATCGGCAATTTAGGGACGACCTCGTGCTTACTTTGCTTAAAGTCATATTTGATTTCATCAATTGGTTTTACATCAGGCATAATAAAATAATATTAAAGATATTTAGAAAAATATTTATAATTAATATTAAATGGAACATCGTTTTTTCATGGTATGATGACGGCAAATATCAATGAAAAAATGGAACAGGTTTTCCATTGCTTCAATCAATAAGCATTGAAGATAATTAGTTTTGTGTCTTGCTCGTGTGTGCAATGAAGACCCAAGTGCTGTGCCCCACCAATATTCTATTATGCATGAAAATAATAAGATCAAATAATTATTTTTTAATAATTATTTCATCTTATTATTTATATGACTATTATCCATTGCAGTTGTGGTAAAACTTATGATGACAAATATTTATTTAAACATCTAAATTCGAAACATCATCAGAAATTTGTGGAATATAGATGGAATAAAGACGATACAATGAAAAAACTGTACAACTCTAGGAAAAAGAACTTTTTTCCTAGAGTTCTAGAACTTGATAGAACTTATCAAGTTCTATCAAGTTGTACACGAAAAGAAAGACAGAAATGAAAAAATAATTTATCGTATTAGTTAATATGGAAAGGAGTTATTCAGATTATATTGATATAATAGATGAAGTAGAGAATATAGAACAAGTAATAATAACTGACAACAGATGTAAGAAAGTATGCTTTTATACATTAGAATTAATAAAATTAGGAATACAATACACCAAAAATAAAAATGTAAATATTAATATAAATGCCAAGAAAGAAAAAGAGTAAAAGCAAAGAAAGACCAATGCCAGATATTGAAGCTCGGAAAAAAACAACGGAAAGTGTTAAATCACTGGGCGAAAGTAAAGCTGTAAAATGCGATAAATGTAATCATGTTATGAATTTTAAGAATGAATTGACGGTAGATAAAAAAGATGGTGTTAAGGTTAGTTGTGTCCCATGTATGTTTTCTTTTAAAAAAACAGACAAAGATTTTAATATTCAGAAAAAACCAGGAGGCGGTATGGTTATTGAAACTAACGAACATTTGATTAATGTTAGTTTCAACAGGGGCATAAGTTAGTATTTAAAGAGTAGATTTTACATTAAATCAATTTTATAAATAAATAATTAAATAAATAAATATCTAATTATTTGTATAATCATAATGCCAACTATGAATAGAGAAGACCATAGAGTTATAACTTTTGACGATGAAGAAATTAAAGACCTATTCAATGGTGATAAAAACTTTGCTAAACAATTGAGCGAAGAATATTTTTATTGGTTTGATGCTAAATTCAAGGATAAATATTTTATGAAAGGTATAACTAAACCGGATAAATTTGATAAAATATTGATGTTTTTTGAAATTACAGGTGACGAGGAAGGTTTAATAAAAATGAACAATAAAATTGGTGAAAGACTGTTAGAATATAATTTATTTACATATATAACATTAGATTATTCAGGTAAACTGTATAATAAAACGCATAAATAAATATTTAAATAAATAATTATATAAATAAATATATATAGAAATGTCTGAAGTTGAGAATGATTCTATTTCTGAACTATCAAAGAAAATAATGACAGTTAGTAAAAATGTTAAACTGTTGTACGAGATGATAAAAACTATTGACCAGAAACTTGATGCAAAGGCAAACGAACCAAAAAATAACACTGAAGAGAAGGAAAAGATTGATAAGATCTTTGAAAAGAAAGGGATAGGCAGACCCAGCGGTGATTATGACACGAAGCGTAAAAAATATTGTGATATGTTAAATAAGGGACAAATCAAAAGTCCAAAAGAACAAACATTAGAATACTATAAGATTATTAAGGAAGATGATAAATATGTATATTTCTAAAACATTATCCAAATCATTCTAATAAACAATATGAATTTATTAGAATTATTTAGTGGAACTGGAAGTGTAGGAACCATAGCAAAGTCACTCGGTTATAATGTCATCTCATTAGACTTCAAAAATGCTGATATTAATTGTGATATTTTGGAATGGGATTATAAACAATTTGACAGAAACCATTTTGATTTTATTTGGAGCAGTCCCCCGTGCACTGAATATAGTGTAGCAAAAACTAAGGGAATTAGGAATATTGAATATGCTAATAGTATAGTTTTAAAAACTATTGAGATTATCAAATATTTTAATCCTAAATATTTTGTAATCGAAAATCCTCAAACTGGATTATTAAAAAATCAGGAGTTTATGAATGAGTTTGATTTTAAAGATGTTGATTATTGCAAATATGGATTTAATTACAGAAAACGCACTAGACTTTGGAATAACATTACGAATTGGACACCTAGAGATTTATGTAATAGAGATTGTGGAAAAATAAGGAATAATAAACATATTGAAACTGCGCAACGACTGCCATCAAAAACTAAAGCAGAATGGGGGGATAATTATGTAATACATAAGCAGGAAGATTTATACAAAATACCTGCTGAATTGATTTGTGAGATTTTGACGAGTTTGACAGATTAAGGAATTTGAGTTGGGGTTGGAGTTCAAACTTGAAATTTCTAGGTTCATCCAACGACAACACAGTAAAATTTATGAAATTTAAAATTTTGAAAATGGTGAATTTTAAGGGGATAATCCATAGTTTATAAAATAAATAAAACACCAAAAATATATAGATATATCCAGAAACTCTTGCCAATCGCCAAACAGGGCAACAAAAAATTGGCGAGAGTTTCCCCCTTATATAATATATAAATATAAGAAAAAACCCTCCCAACTCCTCCCGTCCATACCTAGTAGAGGAAAGCCTTGTAGATAAAGTCCATGATGAAGATACCTGCGGGCACAAAGATGCGAGCACTAAGAAAATGGGGGGAAGGGGGAAAAAACGAGGGAGGGTGGTTTCTGTCAGACCTACACCACACCTGCCTTCAACCTAACCTGCCTCAATCCCCCACCCAGCAAATGCCGAAACACTACATTTTTCAAGCTGAGCTGAAAGATGCTACACAAAGCATGTGCCCCATCCAATGCGCTGTCTGGCACTGAAATGAGCCCCTTGGCAAGGCTAACGAGGAGGAGAAATCACATTACAATGCCCCAAAATTGCGGGCAGGGTGCCCCGAAATGGCGGGCAGGAGGGCAGGGTGCCCCGAAATGGCGGGCAGGAGGGCAGGGTGCCCCGAAATGGCGGGCAGGAGGGCAGGGTGCCCCGAAATGGCGGGCAGGTCATTTCCTCCTCCGTTAGTGAAAATGCCACACGTCAGTGGCTCAAGACAAAACACATCCACGCTCCGGCTCAGCCATGGGGCGAACTTGACGCTTGACCAACTCTTCACCCAAGTCCTTCAAAAAGCCACTGTGGCAGTAGCGCAACTCTCCTGCATATTCTTCATGGTAGCGGGTGGCATACATCATGAGCAGGGATGTAGCCAACTCTTTCTGGATGAGGGTGAGCCCCAACTTGGTCTGTTCTAGGACGGCCATGGTGGGAAACATGAGGTTGATGGACTTTAGCACCCTGAGCTCGCTGGCGCCCTTCAGCCTCTGCTTCATGAGAGCCTCAACTGCCAGCAACTTGTCATCTGGAGTAGATTTCAGCGCCATCATGACTGGGCAACGGCCTTGAGAGGCCATGAAGGAAGCATTGGCGATCTGCTGGCGCTTCTCTTCCATGAACTCGTGGATGAACTGTGGCACAATGGAGGCATCGTAGGTTGCCTCATCGTCCTCATCCTCAATGACCTTCAACTGCTTGACAAAGTCTCGGCTCTTCTTCTTGAACCTGTCAAGCATCTGTTGCTTGGAAAGGTGACCACGGACAAGAGCCCCACCACTCAACCCACGCACCTTCAGGTAGAAGCCGTCAAAGCCAGCGGTGCCCATGCACTGTTGCACAGTCAATGACCATGAGTATGGACTGCCACGGCCGTCGCTGAAAACAAGCTGATCTTTCTGCTCATCTTCAATGCTTTCAAACACCATCACGAAGTCAAGTAGTCCTTTCAAGTCCATTCTGTGGTCAATCCCGCCGTGAAACATCACGCTCTTGCTTGCGTAGTCCTTGATGGACACAAGGCTCATGTCGCAATCGCCCGGCCGATGCAGTTGGACAGCATCATCATCTGACATAGGAGGAGTTCCCACAATCTCATCCTCTTCTGACGAAGATGACACCTCAACAGCTGGCGTCTGAGGGGTGGCAACAACCTCACCGCCGGTCATCACAAAGTATATCTGGTCGCCATCGTTCTCCACCCCGTAGCTGAAGAGCTTGCGGGTGTTCTGGAGCTCAACAGCCATGCCATCTGCGTTGTTCCGGATGAGGCGCTGGTGGGGGTAGCGGAAGCCATACTCAGTATGCAAGCGATGCTTGAACTTGGACACTGAGTATGAAGGGCAACCTTTGACAGTGAACTTCTCACCAGAAGGTCGCAACAACACAATGTCAATCTCCATGTCTCGGCACTTCTTCAAGAGCTCACGGAGGTCCTTAGTGTTCCTCTTGATGCGGTAGCTCATCTCAGCATTTTCTGCATGAAGCTCTTTCATCATCCGCTTCATACCCTGAAGGTCTGCAGGTCTGGCAGTAGACGAAGAGGCGGGCTTCTTCTCAACAGGTGTAGGGGCAGAAGCTGGGGCGGATGACGAGGGCTCTTCCGGTGCTGTGTCATCAAGCTCAGCGCCTTGGCATGTCAAAGAAATTCCACGGTAGGTAATGGTCAAGCCGTCCTTCTCCATCTTATCCATGCCGTTGAACGCCACCTCATCCTGAAGAGCCTTGAGCCGATTGACAACCTTCAAAGCCTCTACGGTAGGGCTCGCGAGCATGATGTTGATGGTATAGTTGCCAGTGAAGGGGTTGAGGAAGCACCCCAGCTCGCTAAACTGTTCCTCATCCTCCAGTGTGGCCATCACCCCCTTGTGCTTGCCATATTTCAAGACCATGGTTTTATGGTCTATTCCCGTTGCTTGTTCCAGCAACTCTTTTGCATCCTTCACCACATCTTGCAGGTTCATTGCAAGAGTGGCATTCATGATGGAATACATATCCACTTTCACACGAACAGCCATTGCTGGTAAGGAAAATGCTCAGTGAGAGCAAAAACCTCCTGTGCCAAAAAGTGCTCCGTTCAAGCATGGTATTCAGCTCAAAACTGCTTGGTCAAGTTGAACATTCTGCAACATTCTGAGCAATTTTCACCACCCCCCAGCACATGGGCGCACATAGCAAAGATGTCCACGAAGAAGTCGTAGCGCGGACGGACAGGCAGTTAACCCTAAAAGAGGGACATCCCATAAACCTTACAATAAAAAACATTGTAAGATTTATGTTTTGAAATTATGGGGATGTTATATTTTGGGATTTTGGGAAAATATATTTTGGGAATTTGGGATTTTGGGATTTAGGTGGTAAAATTGGCTGAGGTGGCGTGCCCCTGTTGGTTAATATGGTTGAAGTGGTTGACTGAGGGGATTTTATCTGAACTGGGGCATGCCCTTTGGTAGGTCCATCCCCCCAATCCCCCCCCCTTTTTTTTACATCTGGCGCACAACTTGTTCCTTACGTTCCGTGGTTCCCATGTTTGAAGGTGATCACACCATTTGTCAGGAAAAAACAAACTCGGGGGCACACCTCCCCCCCCAAAGGATCAACGAAACGCATCTGGAGCACACCTCCCCCCAAAAAAAAAACCTCCCCCCATCCACCCCCCCCCCCCCCCAGAAAAAAAAAAAAAAAACATCTGGCGCACCTCCCCCCTCAAAAGAAAAACAAAGCGCATCTGGCGCGCACCTCCCCCCCAAAAAAACCTCCCCCCAACAAAAAAGAAGCATCTGCTCCCCCCCCCCCAAAAAAAAAGGTACGCAAACAACAACTACAACAAACACTACTCAATCCCTGTCTGTCAAAAAACCCATCCCCCCATGAGGGGCTCTTCTGGAAGAACAAAAATAAAAAGCATCTGGCTTCCCCCCAAAAAACAAACCTACCCCCCATCCCCCCCAATCCCCCCCGTCCCCCCCATCCCGCCCCCCCCCCCTTCTCAAAAAAAAAAACGCGGAGGGAGTTGCCACGTCTCTCGCCTTCCGCTCGCCTTTGGTGAGGCGCCGGATCAGCGCCTCCAGCTCCACAAAGGCCGCCGTGTCCACCTTGGATGCGCCAGCGGCGCTCGAAGCGACGCTCGAAGCGACGCGCGCGCCGGGGGCCGTGAGGCGGTCTTTGGGCGCTGAAAACGCGGGCGCTGTTTGTTTGGGGGGGCGGGGGCGGGTGAAAACCAGGAGCATAGGTGTCGTTTCTCTTCTTGTGTGCGTTTTTGAGGTGTTTTGTTCCTTTTTGGGAGTGGGGGGGATCCTTCATAGGAACCTGTTTTAGAATTATGATTCTTGAGGCTTCCTCGATGGACCAATGTTAAGCTCAAGTAAAGGTGTCTTTTGACGATAGCACATAGGGGGAGTGTCAACTTTTTGCTTAAAAAAGAGTCCATAGTGGTTTTCTGTGTCTTCCCTGTCTTGTGGTACCCTTTTCGGCCGCAAAAGACATTCCTCGGCCCAACACAACACCTCTACCTCGTTTGGTATTTTGGCCGCGAAACAAGCCTCAGCCAAAAACAAACAGGCCACCTCTTTTGGACCCTCCGGCGTCTCCACTCCGTGTGCATTTGGTCCCCCCCAATCGGCGACCGCCGCATCCGCGCTCAAAACATAGGAGTCCTTTTAGGGGAAATAGATGGCCTGGTAGATGCTTAAACCACCAGGTAAACCAGGAATCGCCATCTATTTTTCGACCAAAACCACTAAAAAGGACCCTATGAACCCATGAACCTATGAACCCAAAATGGGTGGACCTACCCCAAAATGGGATCCCATTGGTTTTGACGTTTTGACCCACCAAAAAGGAGACTATGGGTCAGAAGGGCCGGGTTCTGGGCTGACGTGGCACGGGGTGCGGCTGCAGCTTGCCGGCGGCAACTGGGGGGAAGAGCTCCGCGGGGTCTGGGTGCCGGTAGTGCTCCGCCTCGAAAAACAACAACTCCGTCGGGTGGGTGGGTGGGCGGGGCGGGGCGGGGCGGGGCGGGGCGGGGCGGGCGGGCGGGGCGGGCGGGGCGGGGCGGGGCGGGGCGGGGCGGGGCGGGGCGGGGCGGGGCGGGGCGGGGCGGGGCGGGGCGGGGCGGGATGGGATGGGATGGGATGGGTGCGTGGGGAGGGGTGGGTGTGGGTGGAGGTTGGAGCATGCAAGTCTGAAGTCGTCAGGAGACATGGTTGGCACTAGCATTTCTTTGGCTTTGGGAAAGCATGGAAATCACCGACAGCATTTGTGTTATCCAGGAGAGGAGGCATCGAGAGATTTGAGCCAAAAGGCAGGACGTTCTTGTAAAAGTCCGAAACGGAACTCAGGGAGTGAGTCCTCATGGCCGGGAGAGTCCTGTCGGATCTAAAGATATCTCTCTGAGGAAGAGACATGACAGCATACAACTGGATGGCTTGTAACTTGGAAATATGTTGCTGCGATCCAATGTGCTTTTTTCTTTCCATAACCTTTTCTTTTGTTGAGACTAGCGAAGAGAAAGTAGATGGTGAGCGAGGCATCACCAGCTTGTAAATGAGATTCTGAAAGTACATATAGGTGACGGGTGGTCATCTCTCCCTTAACGGCTTCTAGGCGAGTGCATTAGTTGGGAGAGATGGTCTTAATTCCCCGTCCTCTCTCTATCTGTTGGACAAGTCAGTGGACAGGAAACTCCATCAGATATCAGGTTTAGGTTCCTTAATATTGGATTATTTCTGGAGTTCCTGTCACTATCAAAGACTCATGGACGCTCTGCGGGCGAGTGAGGGAGTGAGTCACATCCCTTCCCCACCCATCCACTGTTGATGATTGATAGGCTTGGAAGTGGGTAGGAAGGGATGGGATGGAAGAGTTGGGATGATTCGTTCGTCACCTTCCTTTCTCGCCATCCTTCACGTCCCTTATCCACCCATGTCCGGCTCATGAATTAGACCGTGAGGGCTGGGTGGAGAGAAGATACGCATGAGGGAAAGTGAAGGATACTGATAAATCCAGAATTACAGTATATATGAATACTAAGGCAAAATAAAAGCATGACAATTCTGGATTCATAATCCTTCATTTCTGTCCAATAGATCCCAAATGCTTCTTAAATCTTATCAATATTGCTTATTTGGGAGCACACAGGAAGTAGGGTGAGGGCGCGGATTGGAGAGAGGAGAGAAGCCACTTGCTCGTCAACCCTCACCCAATTTATTGTTCGTTCGCTATCATCTCGTAATCTCTTTCAACCCTTGTATTTCCGCCCGATTTTTCTCCAGAGGAATGACCTTCGAAAGCTGTCTGCTTAAATTAAGCCGCTGTAGCGACAATATGATGGAGGCTTCCCAATCAAACATCAGGATGGCGGAAAGTTATGGATGGAGAAGACAAATGGTGACCAAAAGCCAGTTCTCTTCTTGTCTGGGCACCGTCTTATCCATCCCTTTCCTTCATCTCATACCTTCATAAGACTTCAAATGCAAACAGAATAATAATGAAGGCATAACGAAGAAGATAATAGATCGAGGAGATGTCGCAAGCTGTCTTTTTGAGACTGCTTCCCTTGGCATCTTCCGTCCATTCCTTTGTCATCTTGGTACTTCCTGCGGCCAAATGCGGGCTCGAGGTGACGCGTCCTTCCAACCAACCCACCCATCCAACCTTCAATATTGACTAGCAAATAAGGTTGTATTTGTCAACCGCCATGCCCCAGCAATGAGCCATCTCTGGTGTTTGTTGTGGAACATATCGATTTTCTGCCTTCTTTGATTGACATCCACATCAGTCGACAGTGATCCGGCGTAAGCATGTTGCAAAACATGCTGGGGCCCATGACTTATTCTAGGTCCTCCAGTAGAGAGGTTAGAATAAGGGTACCCTGTTTCCTGCAGTCTATTTTAGTAGGGGAACCCTCCCCCAAAAAAGGGTAAAAGGCCACTACTGGGGGACCTAGTATTGATGCCCAAGGACTGGCATGATGCTTGCCCCAAACTGCGGCTTGGTGGTTGCACTCCTTGCCAAACCCTTGATGAACTTAGCGGCGCTTGGACGGGTGGCGGCTTGGTGGGTGCATTTCACCCTGGAAGCCTAGTTCCCCCTCCCACCCCAATACAACAGTTTTAGTCAGTGGGCATGGGGTATGTGTACCTTAAACCCCTTGTTGAGGTCCGGGCAATGGCCGTTGACCCAATATGGCCATGGGTTCAAATCCCGTACCCCACGTGAACATCCCAATCCCCACTAAAATAGACTAAAATGGGTGGTGCACCTACCCCAAAATGGTACCATTGGTTTTGACCCACAGCCATGTGTTGCAAAGTGAGGTCACCGTATGTGTCTGTTCATCGTATGTGCTTGTTTCTCTCCTTTTCAGCTTGTCAGGGTTGCAACTGTCTAACTGTTTTGCAGTCTCTGTGTATGCGACTTGCTCGTGCGAAACAAAAAACACTTGTCGCTATTGCACGGCACCGAGAGAGCCGGAGGTTTGCCGGCAATGCTCTTGAAATCAGTACTAACTGGTTGTCGGCTGGTTCGTGGATTTGATATCAGTTGATTCGACTATGTTTGCTCACAACAAGTGCCCACGATCAGATGACTTCTTGCGCTTGCATCTGGTTGCGGCCAAGAAAAGAAGCCCGGTCTTTCAGTTGCCTCCGTCTTCCGCGGTTGCGGCTTTCTTTCCAAGTCGAAAGACGGCAAGTGACTGACCGCAAAAAGAAAAAAACTTCCGGACCGGAGAGGTCTTCTGCTTCTTCTGCTTCTTATTCTTCTTCTTCTGCTTCTTCTTCTTCTTTTGCGAGCTTCCAACGAAATTGCCCTTGCACACAACAAAAAATCCCATCCTTTTGGGGTTGCGATCGGCGCCGGGTTCCTCCCTCGTACGCCCCGAACCGCCGAAAAAGAAAATCGGCGCGCCGGCCTTGAGCTTCTGAAGCTCCTCCACCTGAGATGCGAGGAGTTCCGTTCGGGACAAAAACCCGCTGGGTGCGATAGGTAGCCATAAACATGTTTCCAGTAGTGATAGATTCCCTTTAAGACCAACAAGGGATATTCTCAAGCAAATGGAAGATGGGTAGGGAGTGAGTTGGATGGAATGGACCCAGGATTTGGTCGCCCTTAAAGGAAA